AACGGTCTTAATATTGTTTGAAATTTATCTGCGATTCTCCGTTGTCATTTCTCGACGCAGCGTGCTTGTTTGTTTTCATCTGAGATTTTCTCAGGATTGGAGTCGATCTGAAAACTTAGTGCTACAGTTGTTTACTGCTATGGTAAATAGAAACTATCGGCCGTTCAGTAAGTTTGTTTCTGGTTAAGCATAGAGCAGAATGATACAGTGAAGAAAAGAGGAAATTTATAACATGATCAGTTATAACAAGTTTAATTGGCACAGTCCTTGTTGAAATTTAGGAGGAAATGGCAGAACAATCCGAGGCTGTATTTTTCTTTTTAATTTCTGGAGTTGAAAATGGCAAATGCAAGCCTTACAAAGCACATTTCATCGATTCTTAGCTGAAAAAATGACCCGAGAACAGCCGGAATCTTAAACAAGTTTCATTTCACATTGAGCAGAATAGCAATACAAATTGGCAAATTATGGAATGTTTTACTTTTATGCACTGCGAATGCCAGAGTACCATGGAGCATGGCCAGTTCAGATATCCCCTCAGACCCCTAGAGGCTAACATACGACGTAGATGATAAACCGAATAAATAAAAAATTGAAAACCGTTTTGTGTTCAGTGTCAGAGGCTCGACTCCGCTAATATTGTTATTCAGTACAGCATAGTTTAAGTAGCTGTCACGAAACACTGAAGGGCCGAAGTTTGTTTCTCATCGACCTCATTCAGTGTGTTCCTTCAATCTCACAGAGGTCTTCCGGGACAGAGGTTGATACTTTTTCTTGGAGTATCTATGCCTCTTTGCACCGAACATAAGCGAACCATTTAAAAACACTAAATAAATCGGAAAGTTGCACTCGCGTTCTTATATGAACTTTGGCAAACAATACCATTGTCAGAACAGGAAACATGCTGACGAAGACAGAAAATCCATATCTGGCTATCCCCAAATAGTCACCTTACTTTCGGTTTAATAAATGTCATTAAGCCGCCTTAACCTATCTTATAGGCATCAACTGAAAAAATACGGGAAATTCCAAAAGACATGTTAAGATCAGTGAAAAAATAAAGAACGGTGATATTTGTTGAGAAGAATCTTTTATTCAGCCACAATAGATAGTCGAGGCTCTCTTTTTACCCTTGACGCGTGTTTGTAAACTTTTTAAAAGTGAAACTTTTCCACCACTTGTTTTAATTAATGCAATCCACAGTAACAATAAGTACTATTGACACTTTGAGTGGTTACATATTTAGACAATTATTTTGTATTTTCAGGGCGTGAAAAGAAAGAAGGTAACTTTGAATATTTGGGAAGTTTTGGACCAAATCAGCAACACTTCGGATTCCTCCCAGGTTTTCCCCGTAAGCGGTTTATATTTTTTGTTGGTCTTTTATCTAAATGTTTTGGCTTTCGAAATTTTTGTTTCAGTTTTGATGGCGGGCTGGAAATTGTTATATTGAAATAATATTGTCCTTCATGTTTTTCTTCTGTGAATTTGATAAGATAATCGTATATTAATAAATCGTTCTTCCAGTTTCCTTAGATCCTAGTGTCTAAAAGTAAGCAATAAATGAATCTGCCTTCAGTCATTCATTTTCATGCCTCACTTTAATTTCCTGGCCACGGAGTAGCAACTTCAGGAAGGTTTTCCAGTGGTTCTAAACTTCGGCTGATTTGAGAAGCTCAACTTGGTGGATTCCAGGACGTGACAATGTCTTTTGTTAGGAATACTTTCTTTGGGCCCTCGGTCTGCCTAATGGCCGCCTAAAACATATTTTGGAGAAGAGAGGTCGCCTTCCTGGTCTTTTCTGCAGGAAATGCACAGTTAGAATCTAAAGTGCGGAAAAATATGCGAAACTGTTTAGCAGGAGAAACGTAGAAGTTTTTTTTTATCAAATAAGTGTATTTGTGTGCGGTGATAATATCATATCCATTAGATGTTCTGAAGGTGAGAGCAACTTGGTTGCGGACGAAAAATATTCATAATCAGTCTCACCTCTCTTGCTACGACTTCGTAAATGGAAGAGATTCATGGAAAACTTGCTCTAATTCGCTATCAGAAAGGAGTAGAACTTTGCGTAGACATATATAGGGTAACAAATTTTTTAATCTGCTATCGTTTCTTTGCTCTAACTTTCATGTCAGACGAGAATGCGTTTACAGTTAAGCTATCACGTCGATTAAATTTTTAATTCGACAAGAATCTTGTTCTTGCGTTGATAATCATAACACACTAATCGTGAAGACGGTTTATTTTCTCAACGCAGAAAAGACAGGGTATTAGGTTATAGGCCCCTCCCGATGTTTTGCCCCATTTCTCATTAACCTTCATTAAGACAAGGTTGTTATTCACCGGTTGACGAAGATCCCGTTGTCTGCAGCTGCTGGTTTACGCTGAGTTGAAGGGCTTAACATTGAGAAACATTGGATTACATGCTGTAGCTTTAACTTAGCTAAAGTGTCGCTTCGTAAGTTACGTAGAAAAGGATGCCATAAATGGCCTTCAGTCATTTAAATCATGTAGTAAAGACTGAAATCCCAACGGTTGCGATCTTTCCTTTTTTCTTGCCGCTGAAGCTCGATACGAAAATTTTCCTGCTCAAAATAATTAGCAGATAATAAAGAAATTTCCCTAGTGCATGAATTCTAATTCTGTTTCTTTACTACTTGAAGTACAACAACAGATCGCTTAACGACATTATTTTCGTAGTACGTCGTTCTTAGTATTTCCCGTTGTGAAAAATTGGCATTGTTTCCTGTGCATATGCAGATATATACGGGTCTGGCTTAAAATGCTCGTGTTTTTGCCTGCTTTTGAATTAGCCAGTTTTTGGCAGCGTAACATATATTCATTTTATGTATCGAACAAGCAGGTTTCGCTTTGTCAGCCTTTCGTTGACATGTCGCTTCTTGTTTTTTGTTGACTCTTTTGGATGCTGTCGATGTATGCCTTAGTTGTTAAGTTCCATTTGAATGACGTGGTATTTTAGCTCCTTTCGAAGATATTCAAGTTGCCGCCGTTATCTACCGATGACATGTGTTTGGCTTTAATGAAATTGCTGCATATTTTCGATACAACGAAGCAAGCGTTTACTCGCACGAAAATCGCCAGCGCCTTATGTGAGATCGTCGATCATAGCGACAAGGCGAGTTGCAGTACGAGCGTTGTTTCGCTGATTCAGGTGATCACTGACGTCATCGAACAGGAAGGTGGTGAATCGCATATATATATATTTGCTCTGGTTTATTGGTTTATTTAGACATTATGAGTGCTGGACCATTGATTCCGCTGCTGGCGAAGCTGGCCCTCTTGCTGAATTGTGAGAACCCATTGTTTCAGAAAGTGTTTTCGCTTCTGCGCGAGGTAATCTGTGGTTGTCTTAAATCCTCATTCTTACAACAGGAATATTTTTTCTTATACACTTTAGCAACTCAAAATCTCTGAATTTCCGTTCATTCGCATTAGCTGCCTCAATGCCATTACTCAAATGTCGCTGAAGATGAAGCACTTGCGTCGTCCGTTAGACATCAAGCCTTCAGCAACCAGTTCCATTGACGTTGACATGGACGAGGGAGAAGCGGACCAGCTACTCAAATCTAAGCCTCTTCCCATCGATACTGCTGCTGCCGCAGGAGCTGACGCCAGCGAGCCGGAAATTGAGTCGATCCTCTTCATGTTTGCAGCTGATTCTGACTGCCACATTAGAATGAAAGCAGTCGAATACCTGGTGAGTTCGTGTTGGACAATTTCTCGTCGCTGTATCTATCAAGATCTGAGCTGATGCCTCTTAAGAAAAAAATGCAAATTTTTTCATAGCGTTTGTGCATATGAACTATGAGATCGATGTATTTTGGGTCTTGTCTTGATGATATATATATATTGCATTTTAATTTATTTTCTTCCTGTTATTGGCTTTTTTTGTTGCGTTAATCAGATGGAGTTCTGTCAGTTTTTTTCGCGTCATTTATCCAGGATATACTCACTGTCTTTTCTCAGCCCCTTTTTCAGAATGCGGCAATCGATAACTATAGTCTTTAGACATTCGTTCTAATTTATTACGACGTAGCTATCATTACGTAGACATCTTTCTGATTTATTCTCGGTTATGAGAAAGGATCCACTGTTCCCCATTTGCTCTTTTATCAAATTATCGATGTTGTTTCTGAGCACATTCCGCAGCATTGGGGTAACCATGTTGGCACACTTTATGCTATTTTTCTCAGACTCGTACGATCCTCATGACTTTAACGGGAGCATCTCCTTTAGATATCCTCCGTCTAGTCCTGATCAGATCTTCCCCACGGCCTTTTGTCAGGAGTCGTTATATTTGTTTAGACGGTAACCTGCATGAAGAAACCTGATTATTTTGCTTTCATCGTTGCATTTAACGTATTTATAACCTAACATAAGTTTCATAAGGTTAAACATTCATCCTAAGTATTTGAAGAAGTTTGTAAATCCCCATTTGCCA